CCCCAAAACCCCAAAACCCCAAAACCCCAAAAGCTAAAAAGTTAAAGATTTTAGATATTTTAAGAAATTAATTTTAAAAGGTAAAATTATGTGTTATGCATAGCAAATTATCTTATCTAATTCTATCCTTTTAAATGTTGTGGTATTAAAATTATGTAGATTTCAATTAGAAACTAATCTAGGGAGTCTGTACCTAGCATATATTGTCAAAGACTTTCTTCAACAGCAGCACTTACAGATTCCAAGCATGCATAAAAGGATTGAAAACATGAATAATAAGCTAAAAAATCCAAGTTCAATGCAGATACAAGAAAAAAATAGCACAGCTGGAGAGTCAAATTATAATGCCGAAGTTGTCTAAGAATAGTAAATAAAAATGCTAAGGATTGCAATTATTCCAGGTATTACGAAAATAAAGCATTTGAACATTAAAAGTTTGACGCCTAAGCTAATTCCATCGTTCTTTTTATCACAACCATAAGCTACGGCTTTAACAAGTCCCTAAATTACATCAAAGCAAGCAACTCCAAGAGCATAGAATGATTCAATTCCAATTGTAAAGTCATTACTGGCTATCTTTGAAAATCTAGCTTACTTTCTCCATAAGCTCAATTGATCAACTTAATTTTCAGTAAAATCAATTTCTAAACTTAAAGGTGTAATGAGTTAAACAACTAGGATTACAACTACACCACTCAAAAGCATATCAAATATCAATTTTTCTAAAACTTTTTCCCAGGTTCCTCCTTCTCTTTCTGCTATTACGCTAAATAATTAGTAAATATTCAATAAGAGTCCCATTGCAACGATTATCGAAAATACCAAATAGTCTTTAGTGATATTATCAATAAATTCATCTGCTTCCTCAGAAGCTAGTTCCCTTCTTTCTGATAATGTCATATTAAAGAGAGTGATATTCTGACTTAGTTCATAATTGATGTAATGTACCTTCCTGTCATTCCATGATGTGCTTATCCTTTAATTGTACATCACCAATCCTATAACTATAAATGGGATTTGAAAAGCTATAATCATTGTATTCGCAATTTTGGCAGGAATGAATTTGCAAATCTTTCCAGTTGCTTTAAGATCGGTAAAGTAGTCTACAAATATATCAATGCATTCTAGTAGCAAGAAAAGAGACATGAAGAGATAGTAATATTTTGTTTCTTGATATTATGGAATTGATGTATCATCGAGATTTTGAACCTGCTTAAGGCTGAAATAAACACCTGTAATAGCTATTCCTGCTTTAGCTAATACCACAAATATTAGTCTAGTACTCTCATAGGCGATATCATAAAAGCCTATTCCTTCCATAACTCCCATTTAGATAAGTTTAAAGAAAAGTATTTATATAGATAATGTAACTTCCTATTTATAGTTTAATTTCTATTTCTTTGAATTTCTTCACATAAAATTTAAATCTCTTAAATGTTTAATATATCTCTTGTGGGGTTTTGGGGTTTTGGGG